TGTGAAAACCGCACTGCCTCGCCAAGGCACCTCTATATAGTGCGGTCCTAACTATACACTATGAGAGTCTACATCTTGGAGCACATATGGCAAAATATAAAATTGGGTGCAGGTTTGTCAGGAGGAAGCCCAACCTCCCTTAAAGGCAGATTTTGGAAAGAGGTGCAATTTCAGTGCTTGCCATAGGCACTATTTTCTGTAGATACTCCTCTGTCTATATATTCAACAGAGTAACAATTATAAGAAAGATCAAGCTGGTATAAATGTAGAAGTCTACTAAAAATAATGACCTCAAGATAAACACTGCAATAATAACCCAAATATGTATTGAAAATACACTATATGTCACTTTTATTGCTAATTAAGTGGCATGGGCTGCTTTCCAAAAAAAAAAAGCTAAAAGATGCGCATAAATGCTGTGACTGGTTTAGTCAGAGTGACAACGAGATTAATACTGAACGGAGACTGCTGGCTGGACATTCATAAAGAAGACACTATAAATACAACTGTCAGATCTTATAAAATGTTTAATACATGCAATCACTGCTCCTAGGGTGATAATTATAAGGGCAAGTGACTCCTTCCTGTTGGGAATATAAAAAAGCTTGTTCAGGAGGTGCTTCAGTCTTGGGATGGCTTTAAACAGCTGCAACATTATATAATTTATCCAGCCTGCCTATCTGGGTCTTCTCAAGTGTTAATGTAGACCATTCCACATAATCATTGCGGAAATGAGAGGGACATTGATTTCACCTTTAAAGCTGCTATACTCTATGAAGTTCAAGTGAAGGAATTAGAAAACAATCCAAGTTGTCTTACAAAATTACAGCACATCTATTATGTTACTTTATATAATAAGACAATTTTAGCCGATATATAAAAAGGTTTATGGGATTATCCTCATTTTTATTAGAACTTGCTAGCATCACATTTCCACTATGGACCAAATAAACAGGCCCATAGTGGAAATGTAAAAATTACTCTGGTCTATAATGGTCATACAGGTACTAGAACTGAAGTAGTTAATATGTACAATTCGTTACACTGTTGTTTTGTATTTGACCAGTTCTAGGTGAAGATTTTTGGGTATGGAATGTTTTAGTTCAGATTTTTGTGGCCTCATGCAAATGTATTTATTTAAATAGTTATGGTGGTGTTGTCTGCTTGATTTCAGAGTGATAGTATTGTTTTTGTCACAACAGGTTTAGGGATTAGGTTAAGAGTAAATTAAGGGGTATGTTTAAGTAAAATGTGGGTTAGGTTAAGGAGTTCCTCTAGCTTAATGGTTTAGATTTAGAGATTAAGTTAACGTTATGTTTAAAGGTGTCCTCAGGTTAAGGGCTCAATCACACGGGTGTATACATCTATACAGCATGCATGCGCATGCAAAGACCTGTACCCGGGAGGGGCAGGTGCTGTGTGTAACTGCGTGCAGCCACCTGTACCTTCCTATGGACAAACGTGGCTACACTCCAACCCGCACCTGCAAATCCGTGCAGGTCCTGGGGGCCCGTACTTGGATGCAGACGGTGTGTGTCCAATTGCAGGCTCCCGCACCTTCACAGAATTGAAGCAATCAGCATCAAACTTATTGTGGTCAAAACCTAGACCAAAAATAGTGCATCATGGTTATATTGGGTATAACAACAGACAAGCATGCAGGGTACCTCTCCTATGCATAGCCAAAAGCCTTTGTCGAAGTTACTAGATTACCAGCGACTAAAGAAATGTCCACTTGATAGTAGACTCACTGCGTAATGCCTTCAGGATTTTAGTATGCGTTCTTTGAAGAGAAGAACTAGTGAACACATTTCCCACCTGTCTAACGACCATAACATTTCCTACATCAGTGTTTTAAAAAAACTTTCTCCCTGTCAGTTTCAGAATACAGAGAGGTTTGGTGAGGTAATTTATGATCGGATTGTTGTACAGAAAATAATAATTTTTAGATTATTTCTCCCTTCAGCCAAAACCTCTTAGGAGATGTGCAGTGCCTTATCTCCTTGAATATTTCGTTATTTATGGAGCACTTCACAGCAAAACTTGGAACTAGACAAGAGTTTGCCTTGCGGAGACACTGCGCACTTCCCTAGATTGAAGATTTAACTTTCTACATGCTACATGTCTTGTGGAGTATAGTGTTCACCGCAACTGGAGAAAAACAGTGCTTCCGTTCACAGAGCTCTTTCCCTATAGCCTGCCACCTGAGGTGCAGTGGATCCGATTGGTTGGTGCCTATACCAATTGCCAAGGGCAACCTTCAACATATATATCTAAAAATAAGAATAGACAAGGCAAGAATAAACCCTCAAATTGATCTATACAATAGAATATCAGGACTTTGAAATTCTGCATAAATATCATACAATTCTGTTTGTATTGATCTCACATTCAGAGATGATGCAAACCTGCAAGTGGATTGTTAAAATATATCCATACCATGCTGTTTTTAAGATTCTGGAATTAATAGAGTGAGCTTTTATTTGACTATGTGAAGATGTGCTGCTTGCTTTGCTGCTTTGAATTCAGTAGGTATTTCTTTTTTTTACTTACAATGGGATTTATAACTCACCAGAGCTTTGTCCATTAGTAAATTAAAAGGTTACTATACTGTATGAACTATGTTTAGTATTTTGTCAGCTCCTTCTGTATGAGGGAACACATATTGTGTACTTTGCCTACATTGATGCATGTCCTCTCCAGAGTCTCTGAGATGTGTCTCCTTCTTTGTCACTATATCACCTCGGCTAACTATTCATTTTTACATAGCCCTTAGTTCTGAAACTGCACAACCAGCCAATAGGTTTTGTAAAGGTCAGACCACTTATTCTAAACTGCTCAGGTACAGATCCGTTTTTACAGAAAGCCTGTAGAAGAAAACTCTATTGGCTACCAAGGACAAAAACATTTCCTAATACAGTTTGTCTCCTAACAAGAGATGGTGAAAGAGCTCTGGACACAACACAACTTAACGGTACTGCTTCCAGTGGCAGATGCTGAGTGCTGAAAAACAGAAATCACCACCACTGGAGTTTCTGATTATATTAGCCCTATATAAAGCATTGATTGCTGCATAGATAAATTAGCTTTCTTTGACCAATCTGCATTTAATTAGATCTTTTTTCTATCACAACAGGGCTTTCAATTCTATGTGCTTTGCAGAGGAGCTTTCTGTGCAACATGGGACTTATTGGTCCCTGCACAATTCCCTATATGTCAAATCTGAACGAGTCATATCTTTCTTACCCTAATTCCTGATGTAAGACTTTCAGACTAATACATAAATAATGGAGCAATGTGCTTTTGGGTCGGGAAAGAATGTACACATTTTAGCTGCTTCAGGTTTTAATAACAAAGTGTTTATTAAATCAGTCAATAGTGATTTATGATCACTTTCCTTTAGAGCAGTCATTTCGTAGACCAGATTCTCTCATTCAATGGAATATTCCATCTTTTTGCTGTCATATTCTACTAGGCTGCATGTCCCTTGGAGCTTGATTATTTTGCATCAATTATGTAATAGGAAAGTTGAAACTACCTACTGAGGCTATAGACCTCCTGCTTACATCACTATATAGTTCATGAATATTCATGAATCTCGATATGAAAGGTCTCCTCAGCGCTATCAGTGTCAGTCTGGAGAAGGATAGAATTATTAAAGTAGAATTATTGAATGGGGAACATTTTGAAGTAGACACAATTCTTGGTTTTACTGATTTGAAAGCATTTACTGTAATATATTTTTTGCACTGTGATATATTTGTTGATATTTAAGTGTCATTCACATGGTATGGTTACACGTGCTAGATTTAGAGTCAAAATTAGAATTTGTATTTATATTCTAGGAAAGGATGAAGACATAAATAATTCCTAAACTAGCAAGTGGGATTGGATGATTTCAATATTACGATTGCAAGCACAAGACCCAAAATATAAATCTGCATTTTTTTACGTTTTTCATGGTACTAAAATCATAAATAACACCTACAGTATATTGACTATCTAGTCATGATTACAAGCCTTCTTGTATTGCCAGTGCTGGCTCTACCATCACAACAGGCTATGCAGCACAATGGGGCCCAGTGGTTTTGTGGGGTCTGGTGTTCAATCCTAATATAGTATCACCTAGAGTTTAACCTTACATCTAGAATATGAAGCCCAGTGTTTGGCACCACATTGTAAAATGAGTATTAAGAGCTGACAAATTATTATAAACCAAATAAAAAACATTGGCAAGTTATCTTTTTATCCTAATAACTGTGCAAAGGGTAAGGGAACATTAGTTACATATGGAGGAATGGGTTCTTCACAGCAAGAGTGGTTAAAGCCCATCTCTGGGCAAAGTTAACCCCAGTTCCCCTCCCTTTATCCCACCCCATCCACTTGTTTCCGATTTCCAACATTTTTAAGATAACATTTTAAAACGTTTTTCCTCACCTACATCCACCATCACTTGTCCATCACCAGTGCCTCTTATGGGAGTGGCAATTGGTGATCCAGTGCTGTAGTTTTTGGTTACAATGCCCAGTCCACTCACTGTGCAAGCTTTAGAATCTGAGAGCACCCATAGGCAGCCAATAGGTTTCCATGTTACCCAGACAGTGAGGGCCAGAGCGGCTTTAGCCATATTGGCATTGCAACAGAGCTGCAGGATTACAGGGTGCAAGCACTAGTCCTCACAATTTGTAGGCCAGATAACCCAAGGGGTAAAGGGATGCCGAGGATGTTGGTGCACATCAGAAGACAATTTATTCTTCTGTTGCTCTGTACAGCTCAAACATAGTCCTGAATACAAAATGAACCACCATTGGTGAATTCTAGCAGCAGTTTTTAGTATTACTATATTAATAATATGACATAAGGAATGGTGATTGATTACACCCTTTTGTACATTCAAGTGTGCATAGAGCAACATGATGTCTAAATATGGCCTTGGTGAGGGACTATCCACTAACAAGCTTAGTTTTAATATAGTCATTCCAACATTTTCTTTCTTACAGAGAGAATAACCCAAGTAAAAACAGACATTTATGTTACAAGCTTTGGACCGGTATCAGATACTGAAATGGTAAGTTAAAGCATCATAACTGAACTGATATGATTATTATTATTAATATTATTTAACATAGACTGACACTGATCTAAAGCTGTTGATATCATACAGTTTTGCCAGTCCAGACAATTATAACAAAAATGGGAAACAAACAAGTTTATGGGTACTATTGGACTTTAGCAGATACATTTTGGATGGATTTTTGGGACAGATTCCAACAGCTTTTCCACTGAGATACGTTCCTCTACCATAAACATACAGCCCATTGATTAAGGAAAGATCTTTAGGAAGAGATATTTTAGGGAGCCTGATGTGGCTGCATTTTCAATAGCTTTCTCATGTTGAAAAGGGTTGGGCAAAGCTGCAAACCACACAAACTGGCTTTCTTTATTATATACATTTTAGGAGGAATTCAAACGGTGTGAGAACGTTTCTACACTACAATGTATGTTGCATTTACATATGTTTTCTGCTGCCAGAGTTTCTTTTTTTATAGCAAAGTGTGGTTGGATATACAGACATTCCCCAGCTTCAAAAATATTTTTTGCAATGATTTGGATTGGCTGTATCAACCTGTTAAGGTATATGAAAGATGGAGCAATACTACTACTAGTACTGGTTTATCTTAAGGATTAGAAAAATAGTGATCAGTCAGGGTGAACCAACCCAGCTGGCAGATATTTTGACAGATACAAAGGGTAGATATACAATTTATAACTTTTTGGATCTGTGATTTTGTCGTTTAACCTATGTCCTCGGACTCTGCTTACATGAAGAGGTTAGCTGGAGCTAGGTGAAGATAGGCTAAAGGGCAACCAAATAAAGATCGCATGAGCTCTTGTTTGTTTCTCCATTATTTCTGCTTCAAACCAGCAGTTAAAGCAAACTAAAACTTTGATTACAAAATGATGAATGCATATGTAATTTCCTCCTGAACTGAGTCCTGCTGTTCCTTTTTATCACATATTCCCATTCTGTCTCCAATCGTTCAGTAAACAAAGCTTCTAACTGCAAATAACTGCCCTACTTCTGGCTGTGTGACAATAGGAGTCACACAACCACTCCCAGCCAGTATCAGTGTCATTTAAACTCCCCTCTGGAACATTCCTAGAAATGAAACAATGGTTTATAGTACTACACTCAACATAGCCAGGAACAATACTAGTATATATGAAAGTGTTGGGCAGCTGTGGGTTGCAGGTGGTGAGCACATTACACTTTTCTACCCTTTCACAGCCCATTATCGGCAAGAAACTACACAAATTCCAAAGAATCCGTGGTACATTTATTTTCTGAAATTGACCTTGGCAGCACACTGGACCTAGACTTGTAAGAGGCTAAGGAGAGAATCAATTACATTACATGCAATAAAAAAGTAATTTTTATGGTGATAAAGGCAATAAAAATTAAAAATTAAACAGGTTGGGTGTGGCGGCAGCTGTGAGAAACAGCATACTTGCTGAATAAATCCAGGAGTTGTGCTTCAAAGGGTAACTAATGGTAAAATCAAAGATTTCCTGGATTATGATGCAGTCTGTCATTAGAATTAACACAGCAGTTTTTGTAATATAGTTTTATTACAATTATCCTGCCAGTAGATTAGTTCTTTTTCCACTTCCATTCCAACAGGGTGACAACGCTGTTTATTCTGCAATGAATCTACCATCAGAGCTGTCCTCCCTATTTGGACATGTAGTTATACCTGGACTTTAAAGTAGTTTTAAACTCTCAAACCGTCAATACTAAATCTAGATCATACACATGTACATTGCTCAACAAAGTATAGTCATCATGTTTACAAACAGCTGGTTCCAAAGGACAGAATAGTGTCCAGCAGCTGCCCATCTACTAGCCTGGGGAAGGGAGAACTGGGGGAGTGACTCTCCTTACCTCGCTTATTAGCACATGCAAGGGTAGCTCAATAGGGCCCTGTAAGGGAAAGGAGGCACTCTAAAACAGGATATCAGAGCTAATGTTCAGGAGACCAACTGATTCTGCCGGAAACTAAAACTTTTAAACATCAAGGAGCATCATCCATCATAGGTGATGCCATTTGTAATAACATAAAATCCTTTTGGGTAAGCGATAAACAAATTAACGCCTAACTCTAGATAATACTTTTAATACAATATAAAGATATTAGTTCACAGTGCATCATAACAGTGGATCATCATTACAATCATAAAATCATAATTAGTGTATCTATGTGTTATATATATGCACACTCAAGGGGCAGGGCGACCATACAGTTACAGTATAAGCATGAATCACAGTAAGCCGACAGTATTGCATTTGCATAGACAGCTAGATAATACTTTTTAAGTACAGCTACAGTTTTGTTTTTCTTTTAGAAAGAGTTTAAATCATATGAAAAATAACTGACCATTGTGTAAAGATTTTGCACCATCTTCACCTTCATTTTAAATTGTGGCTGTTGCTATACTTAAAAGGTAATAAACAACTACAATATATATATAATGACCAATGTGTATAACTCTACCCATAGTGAAATAAGTAAATCAATTGTGTCTTATGTGTCAAGTGAAAAAAGTCCATATACCAAATTATAAATAATATAAAAAAGTAATCTTCCCCCCCAAAAAATTCAAAAGATGATGTTTAATATAAATTAGCCTTCAAAACATTCCAATATTCTACTGCTGCAATGTCATATTAACACATTTCTGTACACATAACTCTCTGTAGCTCCTGAATTATTAGAGGTGAAGACACCTCTTTCTTAAAGAATATTGGCATCTGTTGCAGATGGCATAACACTTCCCACATATATTCTATACATTTCTTAGATGACAGTGACATTATCTATTGACATTTTCTTAATTGCTGTACAGAATAGTTGCAACATGTAGTATTTGATTTGCATTGCATTTAACAATGAGAAAAAGATTAATACTGGCACTTGCTTAAACTAAAGAGATGTATTGTTCCTGGATAATGATTTTTGCACCCCCTTCCCAGGTTGGCTAAATGCACAGATACTCATACTAGTGATATATTAATGAATCATAGTAAAAACCATATTAGTATGAGTCCCTAAAGCTAAGTAGTGGTGTGTATACATATAGACAGGCTTCTTTATCAAGCTTAAGAACATACACATATATATACATATATATGTTGGTCAGTTTGAAAGTACTAGTACTGTATGTTGTTTTGCAGGAATATACCATTGATGTGTTTTTCCGTCAGAGCTGGAAAGATGAGCGGTTGAGTTTTCAGGGACCTATGCAGCGTCTTCCTCTGAATAACTTACTGGCCAGTAAAATTTGGACACCAGATACATTTTTCCACAATGGTAAAAAATCCATTGCTCATAACATAACTACGCCGAACAAACTGCTACGTCTGGAAGATGATGGAACACTACTGTATACAATGAGGTAAGATTTACTTCCTGTTACTATATTTAAAATCAATCTTAAAAATGCATTCAAGTACCCTAATTATTAACAAAAATGTACCTCATTTGTGTATCGCTGAGATGTAGATCCTCAAATTATCTCTGAATTCATGCTGACACTGTCCTTCCTTCTGGAGGGTGGCTACTTTTGCTCCCAAGTAGGTGGCTACTTTACAACACAAACAAGGGCCATGTGCAAAGCAGCCACCCTCCAGAAGGAATGACAGTGTCAGCACATATTTGCAGATTATTTGAGGATTTACAGCCAAGTGATGTACAAATTAGGTCCAGCTTTGTTAATAGTTAAGGTACTTGAATGCATTTTTAAGATTTAACTTCTGAGTTTAGTGTCACTTCAACACTAGATTTACACGATGCAGTGCCTTGAGTGCAAGATTTCCAGTGCAAGAAACTGTGATAAATTGTCTTGAGGCCCAGTGCATTTTATAAAACAAAACAAGCTGGAGGGAAGGGAACACAGGGTATAACCACATATCAGCCATCCATCCGTTTGCCCTTTTTTAGTAACTTTCACTGCAAAAATTAGACTGGTGACTGTTTGCTGAATCATATTTGTATAAAACAATTTATGTATTGATATACATACCTTTCAACTCTCCCTCATTTGGAAGGATAGTCCCACTTTTGGAGCTGGATTCCTCTACCCCTCTTTTTTCCTCACTTGTCCCTTCTATTGGTCTGATGTATAGACCTCTATAAAAACAAATTATGTAGCTCTCAAAAGTGTTTTACTTTACCAAAACTCTTTATCTAATGCTTTACTTATCCTATGTGTTATTTTGAATACCCAAAAAAAGGAAAAGCAGCAATGATAAAAAAATCAATTTTGCGTTAAAACAATAGTTTTTTGCACATGAACCCCAATGGTCTATGTTACTGTGGGCACAGCTTACTCTTTTGCTTACATACTTGTGCTATTATGTGTTCCTCTTTCCCATCTCATAAAGTTGTGAGGTATGTATTGATAAAACTCAAAGCTGTAACAATGGCCATAGCAGATCACTCAATAACTATATGGCACAGAAGCATAGGATGCCCAGGGTTTTTATGGTTACATTCTACTTTATGCAGGTAGTATCAGCATTTTGCAGATACATTTGGATACAATTAATGTATATCTAGTTTGCAAACCTCTATGTCTTGCATGTACCACTTAAAGGTGGCCACATTGAGTCAAAGGGACTGAGCAATGTCTAGCAAGAAACACACCACCATAACTGCAAAAAAAACATGACAGGATTTTGGTGATTACAAAAGTGTATTCTTGAAAAAGGGTCCATGAAACATTTTATGAAGTATTCAGAAGCAAAATAACATTACGAAATGCAGTTTTTACCCCTGGGGAACAGTCTGGGGCCTTATTCACTCTTGGCTAAATGCCACCAATTAGTGACAAAAGACACTGGTTTCACATTCCTGGCTGATGATTGGTATTAAAGCAGTTAGTATTCTATACCCCTATATGAATGACCTTTGACCTTGCAACTGCTTACATCTGCGCTTGTCCTGTGGCTGCACATCACCTAACAAAACAATCACTACTTAAGAAATCTCCATGACCACTTCTTCAAGAAGCGACAGTTAGGCTTTTTGCCTGGAGTTGCGAGTCTTCTTTCTTGGAGCCTATTTAATCTAATTTATGAACACTAGAAACATAAATCTGGCGCAAATATATCCCAATGCGACCCTATGCGAGTTCAAACACTTGCAATTGCTATGATAAATTCCTCTCACAGTGCATTAGTGAACTAAATTGCTTTCAGTCATGGCTTATATCTATATGAAGATGCCGTGACATCACTGGGTTTCTTGCAGGACTTGAATAATCCTGTTTACACAAATGATTTCTGTATATTTACTGACCTGACTACACTAAAATTAATTGGCTTCTGTGAATTACTGCAGTTTGCACCTAGCCACAGCTAAATAAACAACAACAAAAAAAAAATGTCGTATGTTGTTTCTTGTGCAAATAGCAAAATAGCAGTTTATAGAACCTGACCAGCAAACATAGTGATATGACTTATATTATAGCTCATTTTAATAATCACAAAATCTAAGTTGTGCACTTTTCTATAGAGCCTGAAAACACTTTTTTTTGTGCCCAGGATCTCTGATGCTTGAGGCAAACTGTACAGCTGCAAAGTCAATACAGAAACTCTTACAAGCATTGCTGAGTATTACTAGGTTTGAGACATTGGGGTTACAAAACAGTACGACTTGGCATGAATGTGTGCCCTTTGTTCTCTCTGCATGACACCTGCTGGGGCAATTCACAAACCATTAAAGATGCATCCTGTCTGTAATAGAATGATCATGCATACAAAAATCACTTGGCTTGCATTCAGAACAATCCTGGAACATTTCCCAAAAGACAAAAATACACCATCTTGCCCAGCAAGATATGTAATGTACTTACGTAACGGCACAAATAAATTAAGCAATTATCCTTATCAACCACAGTCTCCTGGATTTCTACATAAATAGCTCCTAAATGTTTCTGATGTTCATCATATCACAATAATAACAAAGCCTTTTAAACAGAAAACTCAATAAGCTGATCAGACTTGCACAATGGTTAAGTTTTTTTAGCATCATTACTTTCAAAACTGCTTCAGTTCATTGCAATTTCTAGGACCCCTTCAGGGTCATTCCGCAGCACTTCACTTAGGTTGAGAACAGTACTTAACAGCAGAATATAAATTTACTGCTGTTTAAAGGTACACTGTCTCTTTGCCCGTGCAGGACAGAGTGACAGTGTCTCTGGACCCCATTGCTTATACTCACTATACTCTTGCCGCTCCTTTCCCCTTGCTGATTGCAGAGCTTTTGATTTTACTCAATAGGGGGTGATGGACTGCTGCAACAAGTTTGCTGCTATCACAGAGAAAGTGGCTGTCCTTGTCTGCAAGTTACTGGCTGGGGACTGACAGTATTAGTGCAGGTGGGGCATCTGTACGCAGGTATGATGGCCAGTGGAGAAGCTAGATATTCTGTAATCCAGGGCAAATGCTCAGAGTTGCTTCCCCCAAGGGAGAAGTTCTCCATCCACACACCCAGTGGCACCCCTTCTAAAGTGTCAACCGTGGCACATGCCCCCCCAGCCCCCCCTGCTTCGGCCCTGATGATGGCTAAGAAATTAAATAGCTTGTCATCTTCCTGCACCCTATAATCATGGGTGCAAGCATTCAGTTGGGATTTAAACGAAATTCAGACCGCCTTCTAAACCCTAGTTATATAGCAATCCAGGTGATGTGAAACGTTTTACCATTTTTTTCTTGCAACTGTGAAAATTTAATAATATATATGCCGTTTATTGAGAATTTAGGGTCTATTCACTAAGCTGACGTAGGCAGCGGAGTGAATGACCGACCTGAAGTGAAGTGAGCCGAACACTGTTCGGCTATTCACTTCAGGCTGGTACGGCTGATTTCAGCCGTACATCGGCTGAAATTCAGCAGAGGGCGGGTACAATGCTAGTTTACTATTGGCTATTGCAAATTGAAATAGCCAATAGTAATGTAGCAATGTATTTCAATGGGAAATATTTTTTTTTCCTCTATTCTGACATCGCTCCGTGTAAGAATAAAGAAAAAGAAAGACACATCAGTGTTTCCTTCCTGGGCGGCCGGTAGCGGGAGGCAGAGCGCCCGGGAGAGTTTTTTTTCTTTTTTTTTGACGGCAGCAGAGCCGCCGGACAATAGGAAACTATTGGGCGGAGCTCCGTGTCATAATAAAGAAAAAGTCGGGAGCTGTACGGGCTATAGTGAATAGCCCGTACAGCACCCCTTCGGTTCTACTGAACCGAAGGGGTCCTGGGGCCGAAGCTAGCCAAAGGAATCGCCAAAGCTACGGCTAGATCCTTCGACAGCTTCGTGAATAGACCCCAAAGTCTTGGGTGATTATTGATATGGGGGAAGGAACTAAAATAAGTAGAGCGTGACAAGAAAGGAACAATTTAAACTGACTGCAGAGGAAGGTGTCAAGCAAATTGATGTGTTAAATAATAGGCTTCGGTATTAGAGTGGGATAGAGTACATCCTTGAAATTCGGATGGACCATGTCCTGGTGTTCTGAAGAAAGTTCCAATTCTAGTCTCTAGAAATCGGTAGCTAAAAATACTTATTTCTCGTACGTCATACAGCTAATGCAACTGCATTAAAGTGTAATTTTCACCCAGCTCACGGAAATTGTGCTTGGTTCAGACATCCAATCATTTGCATAGAAAGTTACCATTTTTTTGAACATTTCCCTGCACATAACAAAAATGAACACAGGTCAAGAGTAAAAAGGAATATAATAAATCCACTCTGGGCTGTGTTCATTTTTGTCTTAAGTGCTCGTTTTTATCTAGGTGCAAAAAGTTATACTCACCCGAACCTCCGTTCCAGCCTTGCTCCCCCTCCACTCCAGCAGTCTAAGGATTCTTGAGTGATCATGTTTAATACACTAGGACATGAGGATACCAAGGAACATTCCATTGCTGGAGTGGAGGGGGAAGAGGCTGAAGGAAACGCTCTAACAGCCAGCTAGCTCTAAAGTACAGGTGAGTATATTTTTGTCATTTTTGCACCTAGACCAAAATGAGTATTTAACCCTTGCAGTGGGGAGGTAGCCCCACTACAAGGGTTAAGAAAGTTTGGTCCATAGTTATTTTTTAAAGCTGATCTGTATGACAGTAAAGTCATATTTATTTTCTTGTGACCACATATTTTTTGTAAACTGTATGTCTTACCTGTGAATTCCAAGGCTTCGTAACTGAAATTGGTTTCCCCTACTAAAATACCAAAACAGGGTATTGTCCATGTCCACTGTGTGTAACAGCTTCTTTAAGATGGGACAATGCATCCACAAATATGCCTCCCATCTCTGACCAAATTTGTAGACCATGTAGTAGGCAGTACTAAAGTTCTGATCCAACCTGCAAAGCAATGTTTGTATTGAATCTGAAGCCAGATG